GCACCTGAAACTTGAGGTAAACAGGAGAGAACACGTTCAGTGCAGATGGTTAGTTTACCTCTAACTAGTTGCCTATCACAATAAATTATGTCATTCCAGCCGGCGGAAAGCATGTTCCCTGTCTTAATACACAACTGCCCCACTGAAACTGTGCCTTGAAACGGTCAGCGTGAGTGCGAATTTCCTGCTTAGGAGGGAACCAGGGGCGGACTATTGGGAGATGGTGAGTTCACGGCAAAGCTATCTCCCCGTTTAAGGTCTGACCTTCCTCCAAAATCAAGGGCAGAAAAGAAACAGATTTTACTTACACGTAAGAGGACTCCATCGCAGTAGTCCAGTGCGTCCTCGTCAAGTCCGGCAAAGAATTTGCAGGGACCCTTTTTGCAGAGGACAGCGGTCTTCTCGCACTTGCAAACACGGCAACCATCGCTGAATCTAAAATGGGGTAGATTCACGCTTATAAAAGCAGTCAGCCTAGCTTAAAAGCTCTCGGGAAATCTGACCCAACTAAGGGAGTTTTTAGGGAAAATACCCGCATGTCTGAACACATCCCTTTTTTGCAGAGATCAAACGTCAACATGTGGAATGGACACTGACCACAAGTCGTGGCAGGAAAGGTTTGTGGATGCCACAGTTCTCGTTGATCCCCCTATTTCACGTGTGCCACTTAACGGGACAATTTTATACCACACCAGATTAGGCTTGCTGAGCACTGAGCATGGCTGAGTACGATTCGTGTGTGATTAATGGCTTGGGGGGCATCTCACAAAGGTGATTGCCAACTGCAAACGTACGGAAAAACGACACTACAGCTTTGTCTCCTTGCGTTTTTATTTTTCAAAACTGCGTGGGCAGCAGTCGTCTCAATTTTTTGACCCTGGAACACAAGAGTGTGGTTAGATTTTCTACATGGCTCCCTCGCTGGCCAGTCACCGTTGCCTACGTGGTAGTTGTGATCCTTAGGGTGGGTAAACTACCATGGTGGCGCAAACGATTCCCTTATCATGACTCCGCCTCCTTCTGATAACGCATAAGAACTATTAGGCACAGCGCTTGCCTACAAGGGGGTTCGCTGGTCGTCTAGTGTTTAAAAGTACCAGTGCTGGTTGGACGCTTACCTGAATCCACTCAGTTTTCCACCACAGTACTTTCCGTACTCCTCAATACAGTGAACCTCCAGCTTCTCCGACGCTGCGGACCTGGGCAGGACAGCTGCCTCGGTGAGGCCTGTCCATGCAATTAACGAAGCCAAGAACAAAAGAGCTGCCGTCTGCAGCTTTCTATCTCTAGGGTGCATGATGCTGCGCAATGATTGGCCCAACTGGTTTGAGTTACTTGACCTCAGTGCCTGTTTCCACAGCCTAATCTGCCCACCTTTTATAGGAGACCGTGTAGTCACGGTCTGCGGGCTCGCT